TTTGACACTTACACAACAGAATGTTTGCAGCGTTAATCATTCAAATGCAACAATAGGTACTTGAAGAACCCCAGATTGACCTGCACATACAAAACAATAGCAATGTGTTTGGTTGGCCTGCAACATCGGGTATATGTGAGAGTATGGATTTGTAAGTTGAGTTGAATTTTTTAAAAGTATTTACACCCTTAAATTGTCTTCTCCACTTAATTGAATGTGGTGTTCAGGGTCATTATTATGTATGGTAAATTCTCTGTGCAGGGGAAGCGTGTTGCTTGTGAGGAGGGTTCAGAGGGCTACAGTGACATGTACCAGGAGAACGCCATGCTGCAGAGAGAGAATGACACACTGCGTCTCAGAGTTAAGGCCATGCAGGAGACCATCGACCACCTCAACACCAGAGTAACACATCTGCTGGCCAATGAGGTCAGCACTCTGCTGACCAAATCAAGTAAGTTTACTAACTTATATTTGACTTTCATTTTGTATGTATTCAAGCATTCGCAGAAAAGTATCCTTATACATTCAGTGCACTCTGTTACATGTCCCTGCTTCTGTTGTTACCCTGCAGGTGAAGGCAATGAGGAGATCGGGGCTTTAATCCAAAACTACATCAGAGAGGTTGAAGAGCTGAGGTAAGAGATCCTTACCTTCTACAAAACCGTTATGTACTGCCACTGCTTGTACTATTTCTCATCTGCATTATATTTCTACTGTTCAATTTGTAGCTACAGCGACTAGCCAATTAGCTTAACTTAGCATAATGGCTAAAACTAAAAGAATCAGAAACTTACTGTAGTTGAAATTTAAATGTCTAAAGCAAAGTAATTACAATATTTGACACCTTTAATAACAATAACACAGTGAAGGATTGAATGTGCCTACAGAGCGAGGCTAGCTCTCTCTATCCACTTCGGTCAATATACTGTACCAAGCTAGCTAACCATATTGTGGCTTTAGCTTAGCTTGATTTTACTGAGAAAAGTCTGATATCAATTTTCTCATCCAACATATGTCAAAAAAGTGAGTAAGTGTGTATCCCAAACTGAAATTAGTTCTAGTATCTTTTTTTCACAATTTTCTGTACTTTGTGTTTCAAATTTAAAACAAATCCATACTCTTTAGTAAGACCACGTCACTGTAGCTGGACAGCAGCTTAAGGAAGTACAAGTGACGATTTCTGGGTAACAGTTTTGGGTGTAGTTCAAGTGACTCACCAGAAGAGTCAAAAGGTCAGTGAAGTGACTCAGTAATGTCAGTAAGAGCTGTTCTTTTCTTATTTTAAATGTTGCTAATGTTAGCTTAAATAAGCTACTTTATGCTACTTGTCATACAAGACCAAAAGGTGGGAGGATTAGTTAAAATTCCTGGCTGTATTAAAGTGAACAAAGTTTCATTTATTGCTGTATTCAATATATCACTTGTGTGAGGAAGATTGTGTTACATCTTTCTGAAGTTTTATAGTCAGTGATAAAAATCCATAGCAGCGGCTTAAGCTAGCCTCTAGTAAGTCACTTTATATGTTGTTTCTATTTTTATTTTTTATTTTCCTGCACTTGGAAAAGAAAGAAATTCTGAATAAATTAACCATTTAAAATAAATATTTTTTGTCTTCTTATGTCCCTCTCTTTTTCCTCTGTCAGATCAAAGCTTCTGGAAAGCGAGGCCATGAACGAGTCACTGCGAAGGCACACGGCCCGACTTTCCTCACGTTCACCGTTCCCTTCCTCCACCCTCAGCCCCGCCCCTGGCCACCCGCTTGGCTCCTCCCCTGCTCCCATGTCCATGGAAGCTGAGATGACGGATGTGTTACGCCGAGCCAAGCTTGACATTGAACGTCTGAAGAAGAAGGAGAGGAGGCAGAGGAGGCTGAGGTGAGGACAGTGTAACACAAATAAAAAAATAATCAGGTCAAAAGAGACAAGTTTGCATAGTTCTAGGAAGCTCTAATTTCCCCCATTATTCAAACATCTTAAGGTAATTTAAATGTAATTAGCCTTTAATCCCTTTAAGCCCTTTTCAATTAACCTGTGAATGTTTTAAAGCCAAGAGAGCCTGATGACTACTTCATTGTTGCCCCTGAAACACGCCCTCTGCATAGCTTCACTCTTCCAACTTAAGAGGCACATCACAAGTCGATTAGAGCTTTGGGACGGCTGGCTTCTGAATAGAGTTGGGAGGCAGCCAGCGCTGGGTTAGTAACTCTGGCTCGGACACAGAAAAGTCTGATTCAGTGTGCCAGTGGGTCATGAGAGAGAAGAGGACACAGCCTAGCAGCCTAAATGAGGTGTAATGGGATAGATGTGGAGGTCGATGGGACTTTGGAGATGTGATGGGGGATAAGCAGGATGGCTGTAAAGGGGAGATAAAATTGGCAATAAAAGCAGAACAGCTAAAAAGGTTCAGATGAGCTGAAGAAGGCTTTGCTGATGACTACAGAGGTCTGATATTTGAGTTGGCATATGACTTGGCAGCTTTCCCAAAGCAGTACACGTGAGTGTTTGCAATGCATGGTTAAGGAAAAAAAACAGAAAACACTGTTTACTGCTGAAGGTGAATCAGATAGAGGAGGACAGGAGGATGATTAGAATGATAGGAAAGGAAAATAACTTCATGACACTTCTACATGTGACTATTTGCCTTTATTCCTGCTGTTACATGGCTTAAAAAAGTGTTTGTTTTATTTCCCCCCCCTTTAGTCCAGAGTTGGAGAAAGGTCTGAAGAAGCGAGTCAAACTGCACACTCATGAGAACGGGGAGAACGGGCAGAGTCGTGAAAACGGACAAAATGGAGGGAATGGAGAGATCGATTCTGATGACAACTACACTGAGGTAAACTGCATTTCTTTCAATATTCAGTAGAATTTAGAAACCAAACAAAGCTGAGTGTGATGTCTCTTTGTTTGTTTTTTTTGTGTGTAGGACATCATGTCTCCCCTGCAGGAGGAAAGTGGTTGTGAAGAAGATGAAGGGGAGGATGAGGAGGAGGGCAGGGAGGAGGAGGAGGATGGGTTTGACAGCGACGAGAGCCAGGTGGATTCAGACTCGGACTCTGATGAGAAAGGTGTGTTTTTGACGGCTTTCACATCCAAATGAATGCAACCCTCGTCTGTTTTGAATCCTGTGTTTGGTCAGTTTCACTCCATCACTCCATCATTTGTTTTTCAGACTTTACTCTGTCAACAAATATTGGATGGATCACCATGAATTATTCCAATCGTTGTAACTTCTGATGATCCCCTGATTTTTTAAGATAGCCAGATTAGCTAGTAATAATTTTCATTTATTCAGTGAAATACAGTATATTGAAATGAAGGGATTGAAATTGCAGAATATTTCATCGACAAATGAAGAGGGACTTTGAAATTCTCTAGACTGTCCCATTAAGGCCATCATCTGGTTTAAATTCTATTTAGCCTCAACTGATTTTTTATTTTGTACAAATGTTAGCATGCTTACATGTAGTTATCATTTATAATACAATATATACTGTAATAGAAAGTTAGCATTGTCTTTGTTATAATATTAGCATGCTAATGTTAGGTCATAGACCTGGTGTTAGCACGTACAGCCTCACAGAGCTGTTAGCATATGTGTCACTCCGAGTCCTATCCAACTTCACCTCTTCTGTAAAGACTTCATGCAGGTTGCCAGATTGTTGCCAGAATAGACAAAATTAGACTTTTTACAGTGTTTATATGAGTTTGAAAGTTTTATGGAGGTTTCTTAAAGAAGCACAGAGAAGCAACATGTGAAACAAATATTGCCTAAGTTGTTGTTTAATGTCAATTAGAAAGAAATATAAATCAACTTGAGGCATTAATATAATAAAAGATAAACTAGGGGCGCGGCAGAATTAAATTTTTGACATTCAACTATCCAACTTCATTTGAAATGAACTCTTCTTTAAGCAGCTAACTTCCAGGCGGACCTGGCTGATCTGACCTGTGAGATCGAGATCAAGCAGAAGCTGATAGACGAGCTGGAGAACAGCCAGCGGAGGCTGCTGATGCTGAAGCTGCAGTATGAGGAGAAGCTCATTCTACTGCAGAACAAGATCCGAGACACTCAGCTGGAGAGAGACCGTGTGCTGCAGAACCTCAGTGAGTTCAGACGTCATGGGATTTGTAGTTAACACACACATTTGGGTGTTAGTCAATACATTTTTTATTTTTTTTATTTGTAAATTTTATTTCATTCAAACAAACAATAAAGTGAAGAAAAACAAACAAACAAATCTCAAATTTTAAATGAAAAGGAGCAGAAAGAAGACTAATCTTATAATATCTGCCCCTCTTTCACAAAGCATTAATTAAAACAAAACAAAACATTTAATTCAATAAAACAAAACACTTAATTCAAATACATAAATAAGTGTAAGGTGTACTAGAGCTAAAGTAGCATCCTGACAACACGTCATTAACAGTACTTCATGATACCACAGTGTCTATGGAGAACTACACAGAGGAAAAGGCCAACCGGGTCAAGCAGGACTACGAGAAACGTCTTAAGGAGATGAACCGAGACCTCATGAAGCTACAAGTGGCGCAGAAAGAGCATGCACGTCTCCTCAAAAACCAGGGGAGGTACGAACGGGAGCTGAAGAAACTCCAGGGAGAGGTCAACGACATGAAGAAAGCCAAGGTAAGCGGAGAGGAAGGTAGAGTCATTTTGAGAGGAGGATGGATGGATAAGATTCTTAAGCAGCACTTGACTATTTCCAGGTTGCATTGATGAAGCAGATGAAGGAGGAGCAGCAGAGGAGGAGGATGGTGGAGGCAAAGAGGAGCCGAGAGATTGCCCAGCTCAAGAAGGAGCAGAGACGACAGGAGGTCAGAATCTATGATTTCTGGTTTTATATGTGTCAGTAGCTGCTGAGAAAATGTGAGCTAATGTTGCATTTGTAATCTTTGTTACATCTGTTTTCAACACGGTCCAAATTCAAATCCCTCCTGTGTTTACAGAGATGATTCACACTGATGAGTAGGTGCGGATGCTAGCAGACATGTGTGAATATACATCAGGCCTCCATCTGTTCCACAGTCTGACACATCAGAAATGGATTTATGGATCATGAGCATATTGCATACAGCTTGTTGGAATTGCTTTTATGTTTTGATGTAAAAATGTCATCTTTAATGTTTTCCCTGCAGTAGAACTCTTCAGTAATCAGCATGAGAACATTTACACTGTCATACCTTGGGCCTTGTTTATAATCCTGTTATGTAGAGTTTCATCTGAAGTGTTCACGTGCTTTCATGATCAACACTTTTTAAGCCTGTTCAATACCTTATTTATATTTTCATTTCATTTTTTTTTTTTTTTCCGTACATGTCAAAACACACAACAGAAAAGGAAAAAGAAAAAAACAATTCACACTTTATCCCATGTACAGAAAGGAGCAGGGAGAAGAATGAATTTTGTTTTCCCTGCCCCTTACTCAAAAAGCAAACAATAAATGTCTGGATGGTCTGTCCTGTTACAATCAATGAATGAATATCATGCCAACATAAAAAGAAATCTGACAATTCAGTCTTCACTTCCTCAGAAATTAGAAGGAAAACACACTAAACACTCTAACTGCCAATTTCATACAGTCTGATAACTTTGTTCTTATACATTTTCATAAACTGAAATATCTGAACACAACCCTTCAAATCATTATTTAAAGAATTCCACAATTTAATTCCAATTACAGAAATACATTTCTCTTTTAAAATTGTCCTTGCAAACTGATGCTTAAATTTAAATGTTCTTCTATTCTCTTCATCTTCATCAGAGAAACGAGGAAAAATTAGATTAATGCCCAATGACAAACATTTGAAACATCTTTTTGATCCTCCTGTCCATCAGTACCAGATCAGAGCCCTGGAGTCTCAGAAGCGGCAGCAGGAGCTGGTGCTGCGCAGAAAGACGCAGGAGGTGACCGCCCTGCGGCGTCTGGCAAAGCCCATGTCAGATCGCGTGGCAGGGCGCGTGGCCCGCTGGAACCACACCACCTCAATTACAGACTCTGGAGCAGAGTTATCAGCCAGCACAACAGCCAGCAGCTCTGAACCTGAGACTGGGAGGTCTGTGAGTGGACTGGTAAAGCAGTGGAACAACAAGAACAATGGATTCGGATATCTCGGAGAGAGTGAAGGGAGCATGGATGGAAATCGGGTCATTGGGTGAGATGGAGTCACATTTTTTGCACAACAATTTTCAAGTGGAAGTTATTTTACAGTTTTATTATTACAATGAACAAATATGGGTGTTAACATTTTCAAAGGGGTAACGGTGCTAATAAGCTTTCTCCTCCTGTCCCCTCCATTCCTCTCTTCTTTCTTCCTCCTTTCAGCAGCAGGAAGAAGCTGCAGCGTAAACCAGCAGGCCTTGGAAGCATCGCTGCGGCAGGCCGAGTCAGCAGTTTCTCCAAATCAGCTCGTCAAAAGTGGCAGACCCTTGAGCGTCGCATTATGGACATAGTCATGCAAAGAATGACGATCCAAAATATGGAGTCAGACATGGATCGCCTTATCAAGGTAGGGATGGCCGTTAGGGTTTAGGTCTGATGAGGTTAAAAAGAAGCGCTGTTAGAGGTGTTTTAACTGGCGTCACAGCAGATTGTACTGTCAGCTAAATTGATTGTTATACAACAAGCCAATAACCACAGTGTGATGAGCAGCAGTGTTAGTTTCAAATTCAAACTAAAGGACTTAAAATTAAACATGCAAATAGTGTCAGCATCAGCAGAAGCAGCTCCTTAAGTCACGCTTTTTTTTTTTGTCTTCATTTCAGTAGCTGTCAACTTTAACCAAAGTGAAGGGAGGCTCATCCTTCCTCTTTTTTTCAAGGCAGTGACTGTTAAAACCATGCAGAACTATCTGCTATGCTGGACACAACACTTTAGAAAATGCTGTCAGCTTTAAGCTGCTTAGTTTGAGGACAAGAGAGTAATCACAAATTGATTTGTTTCACACGTGGAAATAACACTCCCCCATTTGATTTTCCTTGAGTATGTTTTTACAATAGTTCTTACTTCCTTTTTTTTTTTCTTGCTGTGTTTGCATTCATGTTTTGTACGAGTCAGAAACGAGAGGAGCTGACGGCCCAGCAGGAAGCACTCTCACATAAGCGGGAGGTACTGAGTGCAGAAGGGGAGGGGCCAGAAGAAGGGGACCGCATCATTCTGGAAATAAATGAGGAGATTGAGGTGCTGAACGCCAACATAGACTACATTAATGACAGCCTGTCTGACTGCCAGGCCACCATAGTACAGATAGAAGAGACCAAGGTATAAACACACTCACACACACACACACTATAACACGAGCACAGAAAATCAATTAAGTTTGCCTATCAGCTGTGTGGAGGGACAGAGAGGCCTCCTGTAATGCTCAGGGTTGTTGGTTGTGTTTTCCTCCAGGATGAGCTGGACTCTGTGGACACATCGGTAGTGATCAGCTCCTGCTCTCTGGCTGAGGCTCGCAACCTGCTCGGCCACTTCCTGAAGGCTTCTATTGACAAAGCAAGTCATCTTTAGGGTCCCTATGAAAACCAATGAAGGGAAAAAAAGTCTATTTTTGCAACAATTAGAAACTGTTTTTAAAGCCATAATGTTGAAATAACTCAAAGTTGAACTAAGTGCTTGAATAAGTGTCATGCAGGTAACATGAATAATGGTTTGGTGCCATCTAGTGGCATGTAATGCAATATGATGTTTGTGTGTTTTTCATTGTACCAAAGATCTCTAAACACTCAGTTAGAAAATGAACACACTATAGATAATTGGTAGTCTGTTATACTAGTGTTTTGATCCTCATCTTCAAATACATTTTTATTCTGTAGCACTTGTGTGTGTATTGCATTTGCATTTTAATGTGTGACTTATATTGTCATTGTGTCTGCGCAGAGCTTACAGGTCGCTCAGAGGGAGGCTCAGATCAGACTACTGGAGGGTCAGCTGAGACAGACTGATGTGATTGGCTCCTCCCATAATCACATAATCCTCGACGCTCTGCGAGAAAAGGCAGAATACATCCCTGAACTCCAGGCTCTCATCCACAACGTACAGCAGGGTGAGTCTGTAACATTTTATCAGGTGTGTGTGTACCCTCACACGCCTCCTCTTGATTCTCCGTCGCCAATCTGTCTCCTTCAGTCTGCTGCGGCGTAATGTTAAACACAATCTGCTCCCTAAATGTCTATACTTCACTGTTTGGAGAAGTTTTAAGAATACATTCTTACATGGCTGTTATCATTGTGCTTAACACTGCTGCTTTTAACCACAGTACAGACTTTAAAGACAGTATCAAATAAAGTTTTACATTGATTCTCTCTCAGTCATCCACTACCACCTGCTCCTTTGTTTGTGCAGTCCGTCCAAAAACAATGCAGCAGGGCAGGCACATAGAAAAAAATTGGCCCTTGTCAGACTTGGTGAATATATGGAAGGGATGATGCCCTATTAATTTATGCATGATTGATAGAATAGAATTACTTTATTTATCCCAAACTGGGAAATTGTGGCGTTAAAGCAGCAGGTTATCTCAAACACAGAATATTAGCAAAACAACACAATATAATGTTAAATACAATGTAAATAAGCACTAAAAATATCAAAACTAAGAATGGGAATATATACAACCAGGATTTAACTAAGCATTACTAGTCTAAAATATGAAAGATTAACAACATACTTTGCTGGAGATAGATGTAAATGTGCAAAAACAGAGTTGTAAATGGACAGTATTGATATAGGGAGCTGTCCAGAGCTGTGCAATCAGTGATACATAAGTTAAAGTTAAAAGATTGATGGTTTAAAGGACTTCTTTTCGGGGAAAATGCAGAGAAAGATATAACATTATAAAAATTAAGTGAAAAAATAATGATTATTTGTGTTGTGCTGAGGTCCGACGATTTGTACGTTTTTTTGTGCTTTCAGAAAATGGCTATGCCAGCACAGATGAGGAGCCTTCTGAGTTCAGCCAAGCCTCTGACAGCAGGTGAGACTGCAGTCTGCTCGCCCACACTCCATCCTTCATACACAACATCACACAACAACATCCTCCTCTCACTGTGACCCTCTTTTTCTAAAAACATCTAACACGATCTGCTTCTGTTGGGTCATATTTAGCAAAAAAAAGAAGAAGCTGTTTCCATTCTGTGAATCTTTCATCTGAAAAATCGTGTACACACTGCTCTGTCCACTTTCCTGACTCACTTTCTCTCTTCCTGCAGTGTATCTCATATGAAAGAGTCTAACAGCCAGGATGATTTCAAGACAAAGGTATGGCTGATGTTTGTCGCTGAGGTGTACAGTTGTTAATTATCACTGTTACATTTGAAAGGTTTTGTGACCAAAACATCATATAGTGCTGTGTCTTACAGTTTCCGTGCTCGTCCCACCTTTTATAAATCACGATGACAGTTCGTTGATGTCACTGAGTGTTGACCCCTGCTCTAATTTTCACCATCAACACACATCACAGTTTGTCAGTCCAGCTGTCATTCTTGTAACAAACCATGAGGGGGCAGTGTAAGCTAACACTTGTAAAAATCTTCCACCTTGTAAAGCTTTGTTCGATATTCTAAGGAGGAAACCCTGGTTAGAAATAAATCTCACTTATCCATAATGATGTGCCTTTTTCTTTTGTTGTGTTTTTTCATCATTGTTTTTCTCCATCCAGCCTTTTTTTTTTACAAACCACAAAGGCGACTTTCTCTTTTGAAACATGTTTGTTTTTACAAATTTAAAATTCTCTTTGCAGCTTTTCCCAGCTGAATAATGTTTTTCAGGGTGTATGTAAATATCTGCTTCACCTCATTTACATGTAGTCTTTGTGTTTATTTTTTGTCTCATTTTCTTTTTATAGCACTGATTTCCTTCTTTCTGATTACTCTTCTATGGTCCTATGTAACAAAAAAAATGGTGCTAATCTTTCACCCAGATGGAGCCCCGTCTGTCCGCTCAGATGAAGGCGGTATCAGCGGAGTATCTTGGTCCAGTCCTGGACCCCTCATCGGGCAGCAAGCAGCAACACATTACCAAATCTCTGGCCTCTCTGACTGACATCCAGGAGGATGGTCTGAGCCTGGGGAGAGTGAGTCTGGGGCTTAGCTTGGCCCTGAGAGACCCCTTCCACAGAGACCGAGCATCCCGCACCATCAGCCTACCTATCAGGGGACACACCTTGTAAGTGAATCTGAATCAGATCTGAGATGAAGCTAGAGTAAGGCTTAACACGTGTTATAGAAAAGGTTAATGATGGTGGCCTGAGTCTAGATTATTCAGAAGTGTTTTACGACTACACTTTACAAGTAATCATTTATCACAGTGTGTCTGATGGTAGGGTATTTTAAATGCAGTCCCCACTGCTGTGGCTACCAACTGTTTTGTGTAGTGTTTCCCAACAGTGTGTCAGATTAGCTCTTGTAGCCCTTTTTGACACCACAAGCATTCTTGCATAACTTGTGAAGATGGCTTGCAATTCATTACAAGTAGCTGGTTCACCATTTTCCATTTCTTTGATATTATCACTCACATTTCACTTTGAGCTAACAAACAGACATTCATCCAATAATTCTAGTTAAGTTTACCAAATTAAGCTTCTAATCCAATTCCAAAAGCTAGCTAGTTAAGCTTTTTATACATTACTTTAAGATAACATATTTAGCTTTTGGGCTACACAGTTGGGCTACACTTAAGACAACACATTTGGATTAACAAAAACAGACTACTTACAACCAGTTCCTTTAGCTAGCAACCAAATATATCCTTTGATTTTAGTTCACTAGACACTAAATTGTTATCTTAAAGCAACAATGAAGTGAAACTGTTTATATAGCAACTTAAGCTAACTGTTTTAACTGTTACGCTACATCCTAAAGTGAGTATTTACAAGACCTCTTCCTCGACCCAAAGAATAAACCTACAGCACACCTGACCTACAGTTGAAGCTTCAGACAGAGATGTTGTTTTTTTTTAATTTGTTGTTGACCTCTACTTTAGGAAGATATTCTTCTTGTGACCTTTACTGCGGGCAAGGCTGCAACTATCTCCTGACTTTCCTGTATATTATTTCAATCACATTTCCTTTGACTGTTGATTCCCAAATTCTCCAAATGAGCAACATGACAAAAATAACATGGTAAAAAAAAAAAGTGTTAATTCCATACCCTCGTCTTGAAGCCCATGATTGGTCAACATTTGCTGTATAGGTCACATGGGTGGTACATTTCTAACTTATTACTGAGAATAACAAACAAGTGGAATAGAAACATGACAATAGGACATAACCGGCAGTTCACCCAAATGGAATTTCACAAGTTTATCTACAGGATAAAAATAACATCTTTTTTATATTTAGTTTTCTTAAAACCGAGACAAAATTGTCACAACAAAAATCTGTGCTTTTCCAACTGCATACTTCAAGCTAACATGCACATGAGATCTGCTGGAGGCGTGACATTTTTTTAGGTTATAAAACTGCTTTAGGGATGGAAAAGGAGAAATCCTTAACACTTGCATCAGTCCCTGAGGAAGGGAAGTCTGGTTGTGTGTGTGATTTGATGTGTTAAGAAACGAGTCTACTAGTTGCTTTTGTCTGCTTTATACGTAGATTCCCAGCAGTTTATGTAGCTTTGTATCAACCTGTGCACTTCCCCAAAGTGTTGCTTAGTTTTCTTTTGTGCTTGGTGTGTGTGTGTTGTGTTTGTTTATCAGTCCCAGGCAGTCTCGTGGTTATGACACTTCCCCAATAACACGAAGGAAATCTTACGACCGTTCATACAGGTACAGGCACTGTAATATTCAGAACTTTTTTTTTTATGGATGATTGATCCCAGTTTTTGATGCAATGTAATTTTCAAACTCCTTCTTTTTAATGAATCTTATCCTCAACTGTTTTCTCACCTTCCTGCCTTTTATCAGGCCCATTGATGGCTACACTCCCCCCTCCTCCCCTCCTCTAAGGACCAGGAATGACCGCAATGTGTTCTCAAGGCTCACCAGCAACCAAACCCAAGGTTCTGCTCTAGACAAGTAAGTACACACATCAAACACACTTTCACACACTGCTTTTGTCCTTTTGTCTCCCTGTTCCCACCTGATCAATTCAGACTCACTTTGAACCACTCTTTTGGTTTCCTTTCTTTCTTTTGTTTTCTTCTCCTCCTTGGTTTAGGGTCCTCCTTGGCCCACTAGATAGGCTGAAGGTCAGGGCTTTTGAGATGTTTTTATCTGCAGCGTAGATGAGCTTCTTATGAGTGTGCTTGCCCAAGCTGTTTATCTTCAGAAGGATCTCGCTCTTAGACAAAGAGACTTTTTCATCTGGCATTAGTTGAGTTCCTTGGGGAACAGCTGGTGCAAACACCCACACAATCCAGGTGTTAAATGCACTCCCAAGGCAAACGAAGATCTGATCATTGAAACTGAAAACCACAGGCTAGTCAGTCCTGCTTTTAGCAACACTAGTAAAGACGTTTAATTGCAGTGTCTTTCCAATCCATTCATAGCAGTTACCAGGAAACAAATGAGGGGAAGGGGAGAGCAGCCGCTCAGATTGTACCATGCTGCACAGAAAAAAAAAACAATGTCTGTTGTGGTTAATGAGGGGGGAAAGCAAGATGTGGTATGATATGTTATAATTCATTATTTTGTATCTTTTTAAGATGCAGTGATGATGAACATGATCTGCATTTGGTCAAGCGGAAAATAAATATTGACCAATCAAAACCAACAAACCGATCTTTTATAAATATCTAGGTTTGAAACTGAGAGTAAAGATATGTAGCTTTTGGTTTTCCCTGTTTTTCATGTTTTTCTTCCATCATATTTGCCTACATGAAGTCAATAGAATATAGTACATACTTTACAAGGTTTACAGTAAGTGTGTGTAATCAAGCTGCATCAGGCAGAGTGAAAATGTGGATATATTATAGTGTGCATTGTAAGGGTAACTATAAGCATTCAGTTGATCTGCTCTAAAGTTGTTTTGTAATCTCCATTAATCCAGAACAGTCATTATTTTTATTGAGCCCTTTGCATGCAGAGATGTTTGTGTTGAGCTTGAGTTTTGTGTGTGTGTGTGTGTGTGTGAGCTGATTGTTTAAATTGGAGCCTGTGGGTCCTCAGGATGTGGAGCAGGGGTAGATAAATGAGTTGGCTCTTGCCATCTTTCCATGCAGCTGTTGTCATTGGTTCCCATTTTGAATTGACTAGTTTGGGAGGACGTTAATGTTTAGTGTCTTCTATGTAGTTCCCCATGAAGACCACTTCCTACAGCACATAAAGAAGGAGGATAAAGTGGTGTGAGCTTTCATCTTTTGTTTCAGGAAGCGTTGCAGTTTGCAGAAAGATTAATTATTAATTCCACTCTTTCGTTTCCAAAAGCGAACAGTCGATTCCAAAGGTCCATTAATTAAACCTTTTCATTTGTTTGGTTTCACTGTCCTAACATGACTGTTACAAACATGTCTGACCCAACTCTGAACTAACTTAATTCATCTCTACAAGCATGAAGTCAAAGATAAATGAAGCCAAGTCATTTAAAAAGTAATTAAACCCAGTATGAATAGTCTGAGTGAATTCTGTTTAATTGGGTGTTAAATGAGAAGCTGTCTGCTGTGCAAAGAAAGAAAAAAAAAAGTGAAGAACATCAGTACAAGTTCATTGAATCTTTTGAAATGCAATAACTTTCTGTGATCTGGACATGCATGAAGAATATTTGCTGATCCTATTTGAGTACATGGATTGCTGACAAGACTGGGATCAAGTTCTTGACACATATTGGAAAAAACTGACATTTCATTTAATCAAATGTTTCATGTTTGTTATGGCTGAAGACACTTTGAATCTCAGGTCCTTTTAAAAAAAAATATTTTCATGGGATTCCAGTAAAACCCATTGAATTTAAAGAAGGTTTTTGTCTTGAGAATCTCTCAGGAGAGCAGATATTACTATGCTAATAGCCACCATAGCCGGCAGTAAATACCAAGAAATAGAGGAATCTTCTATCACTTTTTAACACTGTTGCTCCCTCCAGACATATTCAGAACTGTTTTTACTATTTCATGCTCAGGACTGTAAAGCACTGGCTCTCAGGGCGACAAACCAGAGGCTATAAAATATTTACAATATAATAACATTTTTATTGCACTGTCGCATACATACCAGGCTTTCCCTTCAGGCTATCGTTGAGGTACTGTGTACGTGTGCTCTGGATTTTGAACCTCAACAGCTTTGAGCAGAGTCGCCTTTGAGCTTGATTGAAATCCATTCAGGATCCATCCCACTGTTAACCCTTTACTTGTTGGAGTGGACGCTGGCATTAGGGTCCTTCATTGAGGAGTCACAATATAATTGTTTGTTGGACCATCCTAGCAGTCAGTGTTTCTTCCTCAACCAATTCTCCTTTTTTCCTTTGTCTACTTTATTTCTTCCTTGTTCAATTAAATAGTTGGACATTTTGTGAAGAGAGATGTATGCAAAGATATATACCGCTCTAAAGTCTGTGAGAAATATATGAGGCTATAGCAAGAGAAAGGATAACTTAGATTAGCAACACTGGAAACTGGGAAAAAGCCAACTCAGGTTCTTCCAGGTTTAAATAAATCCACCTGCCTGAACCTCTAAAGCGCACTCGTTACCAAGTATGTCCTTTTTTTAATCATTATCCTTAAAAAATAATGACAAAACAATTTTAGCCACACGTCAAACCACCATATTTGGAGGCGTTTGCTACCCTTGGACAGATGCTAGCTAAGTAGCTAAGCTAGCCTTTTAGCTTGGTTTCAGGCTACAGCTGAAAACAAGCCTTAGTTTTCAGCTGTGTTTTAGTTTTAATGGACACAAGACACAAGAGTGGTATAAATCAAGTAAATTAAAAAAGATAATTATCCAAACTGTCACAACTATTTCTTTAAACCGTTAATCTTTAATACTAGCGCTAACGACGCAAATGGGAAGTGAACTTAACTAGCTCATTGCTTATTGTTAGTTGACCAGTGAATAGTAAATATTGCTTTAACAAGGAGAACATCTGTGGACAGATGTCAAAGAATAAAGCCTGTTCAGTGGTTATCTTCTTGAGAAAAAAAAAAACATAGTTGATTAAAATGCCTGATAACCGCTGGACACGCTTCATTGTTCGACTGAGCTTTCCTACCAGTTTGCTCACTGCTATGTATCCAAAACCCTTCCTCCAGTCACTCCTCCCTTTAACCCTCTGCCAGTAACCCTTCTGTCTTTCCTAAGCGTGCTTAACCCTTTCCTCTCCCCGCCCCGCCCTCCCCTATCCTGCTCCTCTTCTGCCTCCAGGTCGGATGACAGCGACTCCTCGCTCTCCGAGGTGCTCAGGTAGAGGAACTGTGTTTGTCTCTGTTTTCCCATCTGCCTGTTTCACTTCACATGGTGTCATGTCGTCTTCACTGGTAGTCCGAGCCTTGCCTGGCCTCCACCATCTTTAACCCTCCTCTGTGAGGGCATGTAGCATGACATGTGGTGCATGTTTTAACCACATGCAGTTTTCTTGAGCTGCCGGCCTTTCCCACCCATGTGATGTTGTTTTTTCTTTCTGGTGTTTCTCGCATACAAGGCCTGAATGAACTTTTTCACCCATTGACAGAAAAAAAGAGCAAATAAAACAGTTTGAAAATGTAATCAAACATGTTTTGAGTAACCTCTTGATATTTTGAGAAATAGTAACCCGAGTAATAACAAAGGTTATCTGAAGACACTTCATAAAAAGCAGATTTAGATTCAAGATGAGCTAAGCACTTGGTCACTTGGTCAAATTCAACAGTGGCAAAGAAAAACATCCTGAAACCTGGAGCAGCACCAGACTCATGTTGAACAGCCATCTCCTATGACTGTGTTAGACTCGGGGATAGAGGGAGATACAGAAAGAAAGAGGTGGATAGAAACCAAACAAACAACAGCTGATTCAGACTTATTGCCCGTTACAATGGTTAAAGTTCTCAGCTTTAAGCATTAAAAATTACTGTCTGATCATGGTAATGGGGAAGGACTGATAATAGCAGTTACTGTATGTGCAATAGCAGATATTTAATTACCGTTACCTCATTTTTCAATAAAGATAGAAATAGTTATAAAGAGGTAAAACATACAACAAAATTTACAGGACAAGTCATTTTAGTAAATATTTACTTTTTTTTCTTCCTTCTGAGACATATCTGCAGCCAGCAGCCTGTTAGCTTAGCATTACACATAGAGTAGGAAATGGGGGAAACAGCTTGCCTGGTTCTTTAATCATAACACAATCTAAATACCAGCCACTCAAGCTCAAGAGGGAAAAAGTTAAAATCTTCACTGCAATCACACATTACTGCACTCATTCATACACAGTCAGTAAAGCACAAGGACATGCAAACAGGAAGAGGTAGAAATAAACCTGTTGATCTTGGGGTTAGTAAACGACACGACCTCCACGCGTAAGTTAGTGAGCCTCAAAGGTGGTTAGGCTAGCCAATTTTTTTTACGCTTTAGTGTTTATGCTAAGCTAAGCTAATTGACAACTGGCTGGAGTGTGTACAGTATGAGTAATAACAGTCTTCTCATTTTAGATAAAAAAAAGACTTGTAAAAAACATGTAACACATTTTTTTCTTCTTTTAAACGATCAACCCGTAACCCGTCCTATGTTTTTCCTACTCTTTCACACACACACACACACACACACACACACACCCACACTTATGTGCAAACACAAAAAAGAAATGGATGCACCATGGCTCTTCTGCCTGTTTTTCAATGTACTGCTGAGAGCACATACTGAGCTCCCCTCATGTTTTTCATTAGTCGGCTGGTCGCACAGTTCTTGGCCCTGCCGCATCCATTAGCAGCCCTAACAAAGTGCATAACACAGCACACTGTAATATCTGTCAGAGGCGATTATCAAACGGAAACATAGCACAGTACTGTACAAAAAACAAAAACATGCTGCATTAAACACTATTATTAAATGTACAGTTGTTGTTCTTAATGAAAAAGACAAAAGAGAAAGTATTCTGCAATTAAACGTTTCTATGGAAGGTAATCGATGTAACTTTGTTAATTGGTTATAATTATAGAGCCTCTGATAATATTTTGCTAAAGGATTAACAAAACTAAACTTTAAAGCCTATTTGAAAGATACACATCATGACTTTAACATCTAGACTAATAATAATAGTAATAATAGCTTTATTTATATAGCATTTTAAAAACAAATGTTTACAAAGTGCTGTGACAGACAGAGCAAATACAGCAACACAACAACAGAACAGAGATCAACAGAGAGGGCAAAATTGTAAAAATGCAAATAACAGGAATAAGACAGATTCAACAGGCAGGTATGGAGAGGCAGTTCAACACAGTGATTAGTTTAAAATCAACCAGGAGAGAACAAAATTAAAATTGAGGGAGAGTGGTACGACATCACATCACAGGCTGTAAACACAGAATGAAGATAAAAAGAAAGGATAAACAGGACATTGGTTAAATGAATAAAGCAACAGAGAGCTAAAGAGTTAAACAATAAAAGAAGTAGGAATTTAAAAAGACTAAGAGCAGTAAAATGAATACAGGAAGGGATACATTTAAAGGCTAAAACATTTAAAGAAGAGAAAGATAAAAAGTTAAAAGCGATACAATTAATAAAAGGAAGGGATAGATCTTTAAAGGAGAAATCACATAATGTGTCTCACTGACTTTATATTTTAACCAAAGACAAGAAGACATAAAAACCTTCAATCATCACTACAGCCTTCAGAGTGATAAAGTTCATTCAAATGAAAGTGCACCTCAAATCCTTCTGATCCTATTTGTTTTAAATACTTCCCCTTCTTCATGTACATAAAACTAGACCCATCACAGGTATAGGCTTCTACTCTATTTGATAAATAAATACCTATACACAGTATATCCTATCATCATGTTTTCATTGAATTTGGTCCAAAATGAAGATGGGATGGATTTTATGTGATGCTGTTTTCACCTCCCTTCACAGTCAGGTTTTGCAGCAGTGCATAGAAGCGGAAGCTGATAATCTGACGGTGTTATCAACTTGTAACATTTCTCTACCTTAGCAACATATACCAAACCCTTTCCATTGGCACCTAAAGGCCACTCACCATTGAGGTGCTGACTTGAGATAAAGCCCCATCCTGCATGTGGTGATGATGACACCTCAGGACTTTGTGCTGTGGTTTATTTTTGAGTTGCAGGCTGCTGTGTAGTCAGTGAGCCAGGCTGTGGCTGTTTGTACCATTTGTTTTGAGCTTATTTTTTGCAAGTTTTCTTTTTTGTTTCATAAGACTTTGCAGACATGCACGATTTCTTTTTTTTTTACTAGTTGATGATTGACAGCTTTTGATTTTTGTTGGAATTTTTATGCACTTTAAAAAAATAATCACTGGAAGTGTGGTGGATGTTTCAGTTTGATTTGATGTGTGTTTGTGTGTGTTTTAACTCTGGGACATCCACGTAGCTACACACAGGAAGAGAAGAAGAGCATGCTACCATAGCTTCTAAACACACACTTCAGCTTCACTCTCTCTCACTCACACACACACAATACTTACAACCAGTGGGGTTGTAAGGAAACCCACTAGGGACCAATTTCCTACATTCCCCCGCTCTTCCTCTCACCCTCTGCCAGCTCTGTCTCAGTCCGCTGACTGCTCTCCAGGCACTCTGGGACTCTGGCCTGTCAGCAGGACACACTGTAGATTGTGGAGGGCGGGGGGGTGCATAGGGTATATGGGCCTGTGTGTGTGTTTGTATACTTAGGTGTGTGAGTGTGAAAACGTAAGGCAGACAGACACGGTGAAGAGAAAGCAGCTCTCACTGTTGGAGTGTCTTAATTGGGCTGTTTCACAAAGAAAAAAAAAAGAAGAGGGATTGGGTAGTGGAAGCATGCCAGAGAGAGGGAGCAGGTGGGTGCACAAAACCAACAGTTCAATGTGTGTGTGTGTGTGTGTGTGTGTGTGTGTGTGTGTGTGTGTGTGTGTGTGTGTGTGTGTGTGTGTGTGTGTGTGTGTGTGTGTGTGTGTGTGTGTGTGTGTGTGTGTGTGTGTGTGTGTGTGTGTGTGTGTGGTATTATGTACATGCACAGTTTTTTTTTACACGGGAGTGCCTTTGTATCCAGTGAGGTTTGTATTGCCCCTTGTATTTTGTGTGCATGTTTTTGGATTGGCCTTTATCCATGTACAAATATCTGTAGATAAGTGAAGAAAACAGCCTTACTGATCTGTATTTAAGTGACTGTTACATTGTGTGTGTGTGTGATCTTTAGGGGTGTGATTAATCCTATCGGGGGTGTGAAGGGGGGTCGGACAGCCCCCCTGCAGAGTGTGTCTGTGGCCGAGGGCCACTCCAAGCCTGTACTATGTGTGGATGCTACAGATGAGCTGCTCTTCACTGGATCTAAAGGTAAAAAAACATCTTGTTGTACTCTTGTTGTTTTTTGGAATAAATCTAATATATCTTGTATGGTCTTAATGACAGCTGTTAAATTAAAATAATGTACTACTATATTATGCTGTATGAGATTTCTAAAGTTTTTTTTAATTAGTGTCTTCCATATGAAGCAAAATACAAAATAACTTAAAGAGTGTCATATCTAACTATCACTATATCAAAGTCAAGATGAGTTCAACATGCCGGCTTTTCTCTCATGTTAGTTTGATGAAAATGCAGCTAAGGCTTGGAGGTGAATAAACAAGCTAACAGCTAGCTTGTCAAACCTTTTACAAGTGCAGCGTGTATGAATGACAAAGTGCCTTTGAGGGGTTTTCTTCTCTTTGACATTTACATTTTGAGATACAGTGTGTAAATGAGTGTTGGAGGAGTATAGAGGTTCTTGTTGGCACATTTTAAGGTGTCCAGTATTTATGCTAATCTAAACTTATGTGGATGTTACTTAAAGGCTTTATATGTGATTTTTCACACTTAACTGTAATATAAATCAAGTATATCCTCTGAAAATAACTCTGTGAGTCATGACTGTCTACAATGGGTGTAACACCCGAGTCCCACTGTCTGTGATGTTTTCAGAGTCCTATCTTCACTTTGTTTACATCGCCCGGACGCCGGCTGACTCCTCCCCTCACATATAAAAGTTGATAAATTGAGGGACTAGAGAAAAGAAGAATAACATACTGTACTCACTGCTTAACTGTGTTTCTAGATCACGCTCATTTCAGGTAAATTTACATGCAGTGTGAAGATACGAACATAATAAAGATCGCTAGCATTAGCATGCTAACACAACAATGCAGCACGAGAAAAAAAATCAAAAAAATCATATATAAAGCCTTTAAGTACTTAAACATATTAGGCTTACGTTTTCTCATCTTGCTCTCTTTAAGAACGTGAATATGTTTATTTCCCAAAATGTTCAACATGTCCTTTTTTCTCACAATAAATGAAATTGAGGAATTAGCATTTTTTTTTGCTTGTGTTTACATTTCAGTTTACCACTTCTTTTGCTGTCTGTCGTTTTTTCCAGCAATCTCCACATAACAGGTTAATGCTAAGCTACGGATAGCTTATATAAAATTAAAATATTTGAAACTAGAATAAAGTTTTAAATATTAGTATTCTTAATTATTCCCTCCATAAGTGGCATCTGTCTTTTGATGTTCTTTTATCATATTTTAAACTCGTATAAACATGATTAAGAATGTTAACTAGGCTAACGCTCAGGTGAAAGAAATTGTAACAAAAGAATTATCTGATTGATTTTGATGTTATGTATGTCATATCACATTTATGTCGTATCACGTCATTTATGTCAATCCAAACTGTGACTTCATAGTACTTGAACCCGCCTCTTTTACCCCTCTAGATCGTACCTGTAAGATGTGGAACCTGGTAACAGGTCAGGAGATTGTCACTTTAAAAGGCCACCCAAACAACGTGGTGTCAGTGAAATATTGTCCTGCCTCCTGCCTGGTCTTCTCTGTCTCCACCTCCTACATAAAGGTGTGGGACATCCGGGACTCCGCTAAGTGTATCCGCACGCTGACGTAAGTTCCTCTTTACGATCAGCCAGATGAAAGGGGTTTGTGCAGTGCAAATAAAATGACTACTGAATTCAACTTGTCTCTCTTATCATGTCTCCATTTAATACCCTCTTATAGTTATTCCCCTGTTTCTTTTCTCTGTACTCCCACAGTTCATCTGGGCAGGTTGTCTCTGGGGACGCGTGTGCAGGCACCACCACTCGCACAATAACCTTTGCACAGGGGGAGTGTCAGATCAACCAGATTGCCCTCAACCCATCAGGATCTGTGCTTTATGCTGCTGCTGGAAACACTGTACGCATGTGGGACCTGAACAGGTGTGATTGATTCATTTGTTCATTAAAATACTAAATCTAATTCTGAGTTAATGTCATTCCTTCAGTCACTCTGAAGGCTCTTATATATTTCCTTTGTTTGTTCATGCAGGTAGATTCTGCAAAGCTAGCTCTTAATTCTTGTAGACACCGATGTGAATATATTCATTTGGTAGATGTTACTCCACCAGTGAGCTGATTAACCCGACCCGACGGAAGGGATGGGAAAGGCTGTCAAAATCAGAAAAGTGCAGGAACTCAGCACTGACGATATCAAGTGTGAAAACAAGCAGGTTCCCTAGAAGACCCCCCTATTTCTAATATCTTGTAAAAATAAAAATCTACCCATCTTCTCCTCTTTTATTGCTTCCAGGGGTAAAATGATTAACAGACAGGACCAGACAGTTTACGCTGAAGGCCTCGGACCAATTTAATGATGCATAACAACCCCCAGAAATGAAAAATGAATGTATTAAATATTTCTCCACTATCATCTCTGCCTTTGGTGTTGCTGTGTCTCAGCCGCTTTACTCTCGAGACGGAAAGTGATTTCACTCAGCGAAACTGACAACTTGAAAATCAGATTCTTGTGAGTAATGAATTTGTGTGTGTGTGTGTGTGTGTGTGTGTGTGTGTGTGTGTGTGTGTGTGTGTGTGTGTGTGTGTGTGTGTGTGTGTGTGTGTGTGTGTGTGTGTGTGTGTGTGTGTGTGTGTGTGTGTGTGTGTGTGTGTGTGTGTGTGTGTGTGTGTGTGTGTGTGTGTGTGTGTGTCTCTCTCTCTCTCAATGTGTGTATTTAGGATGCAAGCGATGGGGAAGCTGACAGGCCACATTGGCTCTGTGATGTGTCTGACAGTGGGACAGTCTCTGCTGGGCAAAGACCAAGTCATCACAGGCTCTAAAGACCATTACGTCAAGGTTACATCCGCTCACATTCTGACACATTTCGACCACTCCTGTGTGTCACATATTGAGCCAAATCCAACGACGAACTTACTTTTTGGTCTCTCCTCAGGTATTTGACGTGGCAGAGGGAACCCTGGGTAATGTAGGCCCAGCTCATAACTTTGAGCCACCACACTATGACGGCATCGAGTGTTTGGCTGTCAAGGGGGATGTGCTGTTCAGCGGATCCAGAGACAACGGAATCAAAAAATGGGATTTGGAGCAACAGGAGCTCACTCAGGTGTGTGTGTGTGTGTGTGTGTGTGTGTGTGTGTGTGTGTGTGTGTGTGTGTGTGTGTGTGTGTGTGTGTGTGTGTGTGTGTGTGTGTGTGTGTGTGTGTGTGTGTGTGTGTGTGTGTGTGTGTGTGTGTGTGTGTGTGTGTGTGTGTGTGTGTGTGTGTGTGTGTGTGTGTGTGTGTGTGTCCATATTTAATGACTTAAGAAGTTGAATTTAAAACATTTAATGATCAGCCCAATCTGAAAACTCAAACTTTAATTTAGACTCAGTGAAAATTAAAGATACATTTGTGGTTTGTTCAGACAAAGAAGGTCGGCAGGGTTGAGTTAAACAAGAAGCAGAGTGAAAATATATTGTGGATGTATAGCTCGTACGTTCAAATTTCAAACCCTGTCCTTTTCCTCGACCCTTCTCTTGACATTATATGCAGTGAGCCTGCGGGCACTGTAAAAAACATGCAGGAGTTCACTGTTCCCCGAGGCTAATTATTCATGACCTTTTGACCCCAATCATCCTGTGAGCTGCTCTTTCCATATCTTATGAGTGCAGTGTGAAGGGTAGATAGAGTTCCAGCATAGTGTTGGGGGCTCTATTTAGATTGTTGTGTAAAATTGAATCACATTTAAATAGTATAGTTTTAATTCTTGTGCAGAGTGGTGATTTTGATTGTGAAATAATTTATTAAGCAATAGACCAAAAAGAGTCTACAGTCTTTGCAGTACATTAAGCTAAATTCCTACATGAACGAATTTTTGCATGCTCCTAATGAGAATGATGCATTGCTTATGTGTTACAGATTTAATGTTTGCTTTATTAAATCAGTCAAAATAAAAATGTGTAGAGTCAAGTTGTAGACATTAGCAAGAAGGAAACAGGTTGATTCTGGTGAATTGATTTTCCCTTACTTCTTCCAATAAATGTCCATGAAGACGAGAAGTCATTCACACACACCCTCTGAGCCTGCACAGGGCTCATTGCGACTGAATCTTACTCTGACATCGGCTCGGCTGTCACAGTGAAGCATTTGAGCATTCTGTTGTTGGATAGTTCCCCACATGTGTTCACTCTGTGGAAGAAAGTCAACAGGGTGTTGTCATGTGTGATGTGGCTGAAAAGCAACAGAGTCAACATCAGGGTGTTGGAACCTGAAGGCATCACAGCCGCAGGTACCAGTGAGGAAAGTTATCCTGTCTGTGTGTTGACTGCTGTGATGCCTCCTGTGTATCCTCCTTTGCCTGTACTTGCTAATAATGCATCACGATGCACCTTGTGGGCGGATGAGGTTTTCTCATTTGCTTAGCTCTGTAATTTTTATATTAAGCTGCACATTATATTCCAAGTTTTTTTTGCTGCAACTTGTAGTGAGTTTTAGTGAATCCAAACACAGAAAACAAGAACACAAGACATTAATATTTCCATTTAAAGGCTGAATTATATCAACTCATTCTGTGGTCTGCCGCATGTGACCTGAACCTCATTTGCCAAGCAGCCAACAATCTCTTTTACAGCCTCTCTAACGCTGCAGCCTCAGTCTAATTATGTAACAGGATCAAATTGTGGCTTGGGGTGTGATAGAATATATTACAGCAGACTCTGAAACTCCTCCAGAGTTGCTGTTCTGCACCAACCCCTCTGCTGAAAATGCATACGTGAGTTTCCAGGGAAAACATTTGAAGAGTGTGTTTATAATTACTCAGCACTGTGGTTAAGGGACTCCCACTGGCTTGATAAATATTTTATAGACCTTCCAGAAAGCATTATCAAGTTTGCATGTTTACTGGTTTGTAAACATGCTTATGCAACAGTAACTGCAGTGTGAAGGCGCTGTGATGAGGTGTTGGTGTACGGTTGTTACAGTAATGTGGGGAACATGTGAACTCTCTCTTTGTATTGTGTAATTGCTCTCCACATCCCAAACCTCTTAACTCACTCAGGGTTTTCTCCATTTTTCCTATTGGTGCAAAGGACCAATTTCCAATTTCCTGACCTTTTCTGGCCCGTAGAGGCCTTTAGAGGACATGACATACCTCTTGACACCCTGAGGTGTTGTCAAGGTGTTAGTTTGGAAGGAGCCTTAAATAAGTTAAACTTGCACACCTGTACAGACCTTTGAGGCTCAGATAATACCAATCATATTATATAGAGACAACATATATGAAATCTATAAATCAAATACTGATTTGAGAGTAGGATTTGCAACATCATTATTCATTTATACTTTGAAAGAAGCTGAGATTTGTTCCAAGTCGTTGACTAAAAGGAAATGTAGGTAATGTTTAATGTAAAGGACCTGAGCCTACATCTAGGTCTGCATATAAATTAAATATCTGCATATGAATTAAGAATCTGCTCGTACGTGAACAACATTATGAGGTACTGTATTCGCTCATGCTCAGTGTGCAAGATGCAGTATCTGTTAAACTTCAGGAAACAATATAAAAACAACCCATCATGTATTGGATTTTGAATGCTGAAATAATGCTAACAGCATGTTTACTTTGCAAATAGTGGAAACACTATTTCCAAATTACCCCTAAAACAATCTCTGGCATGTTATGTTATGTTGATGTTGATATTGGCAAAAGGCTCATATTGTATATGACTGTATATGACATCATTGCAAATGAGGGAAATCCTCAATGATTTTTGAGGTCTAAATAAAGGTTTGAAATGAAATGACTGATTATGCAATTCATCGATAAATCTCTGACAAAAAATTGACACAAAAAAAATGGCAAAAACAAATCCTTGTTTTCTTCAATGAGCCCTGAATGAATCCCTTTTTAGGCAAACAGGAAATTCAAGTAGCACATATAACAGCTTAAAGTACCAGTTCACTTAGAACTGACTTTTAGCCAGTGATGTTGCAGCAACAGAAACCTCCGCTGTGTATCACTGCTGTCAGTCAACAAGAGGACATTTTGACTTAATAGGTCCTTAAGAGGACACTTGGCACATAATAACTACTGTACATGGCCTGGGAAATGACGGAAAAGGACACCATCATTTCACTGAAATCATTAAATGGCTATATTGAATTGATGCTGATATGATGGATTAGACCTTTGTTTTAGTCTGTGTGTATTGTGGCAGAAGTTTCCAGTTTGTTCCTAAAGGATTAGTATCAACAGGAGCGTTTGTCGTCTTAAATGACCAGTCATGACTGAGAGCAGATGAGTCAAAGTGTTTTCAGATAATCAGCTTTGTTTAGTCAATAAAAAGTGATACGTACGAAAGACATTTATATTACTCAGCTCTCAGATTAAAGAAGAGCAACTCAACAGAAACCAACGTTTACTTCAGTTTCAAGTTGCAATCACATACTTTTCATTTCCTTTTAGCACAGAGAGCTAAAAAGGAAAAGCACAGGGTTTAAGATTGGTGGTTCTTTGTTTAGATCATATGTGAAGGGCTTGAATGCAGATACGGCACAGATACACCTTTTAATTTACTGCCTATAAAAACTTGTGAAAAGGAGGAGAATAGCTTCAAAATGTTCAGAAAAGAAAGATCTGTAATCTGAGACACCTGGTGAAAACAATCCTGAAAATGAACTTCATACGAGGTTTCACTCTGGTGAAGCTAATCTGAAAAGTAACGTTCTGAGGAAAAAGGCAGAGGCAAGGTAACAGGAAACGACAGGAGAAAGTAGGTAAACACAATGAAGTTATCTCCCTGTTCATGGTTTTCATTGATTAGATAAAAAATTATCTGCAGCTCAGTTGGTTGAGATAAAAAAGAAAAACTAGCCAAAGCAGAGCAAGATTAATGTTTAATGAATCCTCCTGTAAAACAAATTGTTTTCCTTATGATTATTCTACATGAATATGTAGCCAGTTTAGATTGATTATGGATAACATCCTCACAGGTTCCTCATTTTCTCTTCAATTCCTTCAGGAGTATGTGATGAAAGACATGTTCTGTTTGGTTCTCTAATAAGGGTTTGCTCAGAAGTGAAGTTTAAACAGACATGTGGAGCTTAAATGTGTAACTGACATCACTATGATAACCTTTATTTATAAAGCACTGTCTGAACAGGGTTATAAAGTGCTTCACAAACAGCAAAAAAGATTGTTGGAACAAGATGTGCTTGAAAAAAAATCAACCTTATATTTGCATAAAATGTAGAGAATTGAAACATTTCTGACATTTCTGACACACTCTTGTGATTCTTCACACATTTTAACAACGCATGCACACATTGTTAGCCTTGGCTCGATGTACTTCCTGTTGCTAAATGAATCAGCAGCTCATGTCATTGTTGAATCTTTGTAAATGTAAGACAGAAGAATCCTTTCTAAGTCCATGAAAAGCTATTGTAACATACTGAGCACACAGACACATGAGCTAAGAATAACTACAACATTGAAGCTAAATACAACATTAGTGAGTCTGACTTGTATGTTGCCTAGCAACAATTTGCCATTCACAAAATATGGTGCATTACTGTAGATGATTTACATCCATTAAAAAATAAGGCACTCAAATGTTTTTCTGCTTCTATATTTAGAGCGCAATAACCCAGATGACTCACATTCATAAAAACTGTTACTGGAACACTTTGATGTGAAAACAGGAACATCTAAAATCTGTATTTCACTCTCGCTGACTGCTCGCTGTTTCTGCTTTGGCTCCACAGCAAATCCCCAATGCCCATAAGGACTGGGTTTGCGCTCTGGCATATGTCCCAGGTCGGCCCATGCTGCTGAGCGCCTGTCGGGGCGGCATGCTGAAAGTGTGGAACGTAGACAACTTCACCCCCATAGGAGAGGTCAGAGGTCATGACAGCCCAATTAACGCCATATGTACCAATTCAAGACAGATCTTCACTGCATCCAGGTACTGACACTGCTCTCAATGTGCTTTCTTTTGGTGGGGCTGTAAAATAGAAGTTTCTCAAATGATAGTCATCTAAAAAAAAATGTTCAATGCCATCCATAATTATTTTGAGAAACATTGTCTATTTTGGAAGTAAAAGGAATTTTCAGAAGCCCTAAAGAATGTAATGAATGATTCACAACAATTACTGTTGTGAGAATGTGATTTAGTTTTGAACTGAAACATGCATAAACGTCAAAGTACAAGACTACTGATATCCTACATTTTGTTTATTTCACATAACTCTATGAAAAGACCAAATCTAACAGTTTAAGCTCACTCGGCTAAAAGGCTAAAAGTGTAATCGCTGCCTGATTAATCTTCTTTATTCTGTTCCCCCTGGAGCATAATTAAACTATGAACTATACTGTCAACCTTCATGTTATCAATGTGTTTCTCAGCTGCTACTCAAACCTCTTGTTTGAGTAACATTTGATTAGAACTACAGCGCCCAGCTCGGATTTGAAGATGAAAACCTTATATATCTGATATATGAACATTCATTGCATACATTTTTGGTTTTTGCCTTTTTTCATGGCAATTTTTTGACATAGAAAAATATTAATTCTGGAGTTTGAGAAGTGGAGAACGTGCCTTTTTAAGTTTTGTACTGCTAAAACTAGAGGGGGAAATGTTTCTTTTTCACCTGATATGTTCTTTATGGAGGGAACTATATGGATCATGATTCATTCCTGCTTCATCTCGTGTTCATCTTTATGTGTGCGTGTGTCAATACTCTACCCTGTTGTTGAGAAGATGCTTTTTAACTCTTTGTGTTTGTTTGTGTGTGTTATTGGGACATTGTTCGTCCTCCTCAGACTGTCTTCATTAATCTTTTTTTTTTGATCCGACCAGCAGGCTGAAGTTAACTTTCTCCTCCTCATTCCTTTCTTCTCTTTCCGTCATCTCTTCATGTCTTTTTGGTCTTCCGCCATCTTTTCTGTGGACAAATATTTCCTCTTGTTTGGTCTCTTAAACTCTCCTCTCCCAACCTTCCTCCTCCTCTTCTTCCTGTACTCCCCCCCCTCTCCCTCCCTCCCTCCCTCCCTCCCTCCCCCTTGTGCAACACAGTGACTGCAGGGTGAAGTTGTGGACCTATGTCCCGGGTTTAACCCCATGTCTTCCTCGACGGGTCCTGGCCATCAAGGGCAGAGCCACCAGCCTCCCATGATTGCCTCTCCTCCGCTCACCAACCCTCCCTTCCTCTGGTACTCTCTTAACTCATTTCTAGCTTCTTTTCTCACCCGAGGTCCATTTCACCTACTTTTGATTTCCTTCACCTGGATGGAACCCAAACTTTTCTGTTTGCCTTTATCTGATCTGCTTCAAATTTCACTTCAGTTCTTCTGATATTCTTTTCTCTTCTTTTTGATTGTTTTGAGAGTTTCTGTTTTTAATGTTTAATGATGGTTAATTCTTCATTTGCAGACCTCTGCCTCAACACAAAAAATCTAATTTACTGTACAAAAGTTCTGCCCAGAATAACTTTTCTGTCTTCAAATCAAGTGTGTCTGTGTGTATGTTGTTCTTTCTAAATGCCTTGTACATCCACACAGGTGTTAGTGATCAGACCTCCGCTCAGCTATATGTGGGCATGGACCAGTTTGTTTGACGGACAGCTACGTTCCCTCGTTGATTCTTGTAGAACCAGTTTGTGCAGGACTGAAGGACTTGTTGACCTGTTATCACACTTGTTGGTGCTTAGAATTAATTCCTTTGTAAATGCTCACCATACCTCTACCAATGTTTAACCCCGACCCAGTCTTATCAACCCGAGTAATTAAACATCTGTGTGGGTATACAGAGCCTTTAGAGGAATAGTGAACATTTTGTGAAATTCACTTTTAGGTTACTTTTCAGCAAGAGACAAACAGGAAGAAATATATCTCTATGTCTGTCATGTTTGCAGCTTCCAGTTATTATTATTTTGAAAGGACAAACTCTTAGCTTAGCATAAAGACTGTAGGCAAGAAACCCTTATTAGACATCTTGACAGTGTAGTGTTTGTTTGGGATTAACCAAATCATATACTTTGTCTATTTCTGAGTGTTGATGTCTTGGTTCTCTGGATCAAATCTGTTGCAGAAGCTTCATATTTGACATACAGAGAGTGGCATCAGTCTTGCCTTTAGTATGTGCTTAACAAGGTGCACATCTAGCTACTTGAAACTGTGAAATGGAAATGTAATGCTGGCCTTTTTTTTGCCTAGCCTACCAGTACAAAGGGTTCTGAAACTGAACTTACAGGGTCCACTGGGAATAAAGTTAGAGAGAGTGTGGTTACTTTCACTTGTTCCATTGTTATCACAATCATATGAACTTCTTCCACACTTCTCTGAGAAGGCAGAGAGATGTTTTTATTTACTGACACGATAGAGAATGTTCTTTAAAGTGTGTGTGTGTGTGTGTGTGTGTGTGTGTGTGTGTGTGTGTGTGTGTGTGTGTGTGTGTGTGTGTGTGTGTGTGTGTGTGTGTGTGTGTGTGTGTGTGTGTGAGGTTTACTTTTAAGTCAATCCTTCATGTTGTGTCTGATGTACACTGGTTTGTTTTGAAAGAGAAAACAGCTTGATTGATGTTCAGTTATTTTCTCCCTTTTGTTGTGTTCTCCTTTATTTCTTTAGCTTTTGCTCATCATCCCACCCTCTCTCCCTCTCTCTCTGTCTCTCTCCCACTCTCTCTGTCTCTGTCTCTCTCTCTCTCTCTCTCTAGCGACAAGACAGTGAAGATCTGGTCATCAAAGGTTTGGAGGAAGAGGTGACAAACAAAAGACCGTGGTTCCTTTTCTGTCAGCCATCTTGCCTGAGCGACTCACCTCCAGCAACAAGGTGCACACTTTCCAAGGCAATCAAGGTGTTTTTTTTTGTCTGCTTCTTTGTGAAGGTGCAAAATGACAAAGTGGAGTCGGCATATGTATTCAAAGGCAAAAATACAATTTGCCTTTCTGATTTTTTTACTGCCAATTTGAAAGTGCCATTCAGGTGTGATGCTACCGGGACAAGACAACCCTAATTTTTTTTGTCTTTTGTGGATTCGCGAGGCAGAACAATTTCTCTCTTGATGTGAGAACTACCACAGCCTGTTATAAAGAGGAAATTAAAAGTGTCCTTCTGTTCAATGAGGAACATTTGGAGAGAATTTTGCTGAAAGATGTGTATTCATGTATCGGTTGTGTCCTAGAGTCAGGACACGAAGAGAATATAAATCCCAGAGGGGACGTTTACTAAGAACTGGGATCTCTGTTCCTCCAGTCAGGACTGTTAAAGTTCATGAGAGTTGAGACTGTTTGGATACTGAACATGCTGTGAGGTCATTATGGTGACTGATCAAAAAAAAAAACACAAAACATCGTCACTGGATGTTCAGTCATTGTCTCTGGAATCTCCTTCCAATCACTTTTTTGTTTAAAGTTACTCTCAGTTCATCACTGAAACTAACTGCATTCTGCGAGTCGTGTTTTTAATGACTTTAACTTATTTATTATTTTCCCTACCTCAGTTGTTTTGAACTTGTGCGTGAGGTGGGTGGGATTTTTTTTTTTTACGGGTCTCTGTGTTCAAACACCAGGCACTTGACAAATTTTAAGTCTTTATTTGATGCCTGGCTCTTCATCTCTGTGTGGATGTGTCCTCGGTGGGCCCTCCAGCTATCAGCCTTGTCTATTTGCTGACCTTGCAAACAGGAAAGCACACATCCAGTAGCACCGCTAAGGTAGCACCGCCCCCGGAGGATTCTCACAGGATTGTATTATTTGTTGTTTAAAGTGCCAAGCACAGCGGAAAAAAAAAAAAAAAACCTGCAGATACACATGATACACACCTACAGTCCACTCCTGACAAATTAGTGAGTCCATTGAGGCCAAAGTGCCAGATATTAAATCAACCATCCACAGCTGTGTGTGCTCCATACCTGCCATTCATCCTCCACACAGATGCTAAAAAAAAGCCCTTCCAGCACCTCAAACCCTTTTTCTGCCTGGTTTCTGCTCCCCTCTGATCTTTAAGGTTAGCAACTGTATCAGTCTGACCAGCCTTACTTAAGAGTCCACCTCCTTTCCCAGCTTCTGACTTTCTTTAGGAATCATTTTTAATTAGAGGTCTTGCAGCTCTATACCGGCTGCTTTCAGGGGAGATTACTCTGGGTAAAAGTAGGTCATAACTGAGGGGGGATTTCTTATTAAAAATCCCAGTTTACTTCCACCCACTTTCGCTGCTTACATTTCAAGGCAGGAGGAAACTTCTTGTCCCCATGTTCTGGTTTACAAATCTGTTTATCTGGCAAATTTTGTGTGTGTGGGCAAACACACACACATGAACCCACTGTGGACACGCACACAAAACCAATATTTTAGCGGATGTTTCGGTTATCCATCTCGCCTGATAGGTCTTGGCATCCCTCACTGTGTTGATTTAGTGTCTCTTTAATGAAGCACTGCAGCACACCACTGACACACCACTGACACACACACACACACACACACACACACACACGCCTACAGGCAGCAGTAATAACCCAAGTCTTAAAAGTCTCTTCAATGATCCTTTTGTTGTCTGCTACTTCTTCACACAGATATGAGCTGGATTGCACATCACTTTTAGTTTTAACTTAGTCTTTTTACATCAGTCTAAAATTATTTAAAAGCTTTTTTTCATTCGAATGTCTTACTGCCTGATAAAACACAATTCATGTCTGTTAGTGTCAGAACATCAGTAGTAGAGTATTGTTCAGCTCTGAAAGTCTTTCCATTGAAAAAAACAATCCTCTTCTGATGTAGTGCTCTCTTTCTTGTAAAAGACCCAGAAACATTATGTAGGATAAACAAAACAAAGCTTGGACCACAAAAATAGCATTTAAAGGTGCTGAGGCTAGTGAATGCCTTCTCGCAAATATGTGCTGCTGATGGCTGATGCCGCCATCATAAGGCTGAAGCTGCTGAAACTCTCCAAAAGCAATTATATGGGTTTTGGTTTTATGTTTATGGGGTATGGGGGGGGGGGGTGGTTTGTTGAAGCAATCTTGGTTTTAATATAATTCTACACTTAGAAACTCAGGTAATGGTTTAAGATATCGTAAGTTATACTCTAGAATTGAGTCGACCCGTGGATTTTAGTAGCTCTTTGAATCAACCAAATGCCTTGATTGAGAGATTGTTTATTTTGAAAAAAAAAAAGAATGGTACAATCAGCGTGCCGACCATTTCCATGTTTTGTTTTCCATTTGAATCCCTTTATTTATCTTTGTGCTGTGATTTTTTTTTTTTTTTTTAACAAAACGAAGAGCATCTTTCCAATAGGGTCAAACTGAAAGTGTTGCAACTTTGAGGAGATGTGCACTGAATTTTGAACAATGTTTCTTGTTCAAAATATGTGTAAAATATTGTATAATAGTTTCATTAAAAAAAACTGGAATGAGCGGTACAACATTTGTTCAGTGGAAATATTAAGCTTCCAAATTGGGGTCTTTACTGTGACCTTAAGTCAGACTACATAACCTTCACTGTTCACAGTATATATCCGTGCTAATTAGCCAAACTGACCTTGCTCAGAAGCTCTGAGGTTTGATGTTAAAGCAATCCTAAAGCAGCCGATCTCTGTTTTTACTTTCCACCGTATTCACACAAATGTATCTCCGACATCATGCTCAGGGTGTGAAGCTGAAATACTGCAAAACTATTGCTATGTTCCAGTCTTAAATTTCTGTAATCAACTGAAAGTAGTTATCATTTCATTGACTCTTGATTGACAACAGAAATGAAAATGGATAGTTTAAGTTTTGATAACTTATTGGCGAAAAAAAGTTAAGTCTCAACAGCTAATGCTAGCATTCAACCACTTCCTAGCTAACATACCGGTAACTGTTTGACAGTGTTACACTATGCAAATAAAAATGCCATGAATTACTAGCAAATCAGAAACGCTAGCTGAAGTTAATGTTATAAGAATTGGGTGAGTGGTTAGCTGTTGACTTTGCCATCCTCATGACTTTACTGATAAGTTGTTTTGATTACTTTTACAGTTACAACAGCTAACGTTAGCATTCAACCATCACAACGGTTAATTAGCTAATATACCATTATCCTGGCAGTTTTAGCTTTTCTACCTCTAGTATTACATTAAAATGTGTTTTGCTCAGTCGTTAAATAAACATGTTAGCACTCAAAGGTTGAAGTTATTAAATAAGTTGCTTTAACTCAAAATGTTGTTCTAAATTGTGTCTAACTATTGTCTTTCAGTAGTTCAACAATCATAGAGTTGTGAAATGATAATTTGTCCAATTCCCCAAATGTAAGGATTGGTAAAACATAACCATTTGTTTCTCTTCTCAACCTGAGTCTGACAGAAAGGGGACATGGGCACAATGTGAATGCTGATTTTGTGAAAGATGATCTTGTCATACTGTAGCTTTAGATTCTCTCCTAGGTGCTTGTACATTTGCTGACGGATGCATGGTGTAAGTGGTGCTTACGACTGACTAATTAGACATTTTAAAACACTGAAATCCTCTTCTGCTGGTACTATCACCTGAGTGTGTGTGTGTGCTATCAAAATCTGAAAAGTAGTTGACTATTTTTTTGGATTATGAAGCTTTACCATGTCATGTGCTTCACAAAAGGCGCTTGCAGAAAAGTTTTTTTATTTCAGCCAAGCAGACGCAGAAAATGTTTAATCTGGATTTAGATCAGCCACACTCAAACTTTATTAAAAGTAGTCGGCTTCTAATATTCTAATGTGAGCACCACTTCATTTATTGACAATGTGTAAATATGTGTCAGAGTTTTTTGAATATTACAGAGTTAGGTGAGGTTAACTGACCATCCTCATCAGATAACCTTGGAGTAATCTCTGCAAGTTAGGATTAACATGCACTTTGGATTATGAACACAGCTGTGAATACTACGATAACTGTCTTACAGTAATAAATATTAAGCCTAGTTTTAGACTTAGTTTACAAAAACAGAGTTCATGAGACTCTAATGGGGCTTGAAGAACTAAAATCGTACTGAGAAGAACCACCTCTGCTTAGCTCCTCATTAGGTTTTAGAAATTGATGTTTGTGCTAATATGGTATGTTATATACTGACAACTCTTTGAAAGTCAGTGCCCAGTCTGTCCCTGCCTTTAAAGTCCCCCCCCCCCCCCCCCTTTTTTTTCTTTTTTTTAAATAGCAAATTGTTTCGGAAAATGTGAATTTTCTCCATCCTTATTTCCCTGGCTGTCTGCTGGTATTTCGTAATATCACTGACCACAAACACTTGATATTATTCTATGAAAGAAGACGAGAGACACAACATGAGGTGGATCTCACTTTAATCTCTCTGACCTGCTCTCTAATGTTCATTCAGAGAGGGATAGTGTCTCATTTAATGCACCGTTGAGCATGTAGTGAGTATTGTTTTAGCCATACTCTCTTATTCCTAATTGGTAGTTCTGTAGCCAAACATAGAAAACAAGTCTATTGTAGCTACCTTTTAATCTTAATACAATCTTTATTAAGATTACAAAGCTGTTTGACCAAAGCTACATATCACTTGGACTAAAAACATAGGTTAAATTGTATGTTGTAAATGTGGATTCTGATGATCTCAGTTGTATTAAAAAACAAAACAAATCCTGGAGAACTCACAGTGGGACTTTTGGGGCTACCGTTCTTGCAAATAAATTATTCAGAATTACATGATAACAGTGCCAAATTAACCACTCAAACTTTAAAACGATGTTTCAATTTGCTCTTATTTCAGGAGAAATATTGAGCTAAGGCAGCTGTGCCTCGTTATATTTTGCCTGTAAACCGTTCCGTCTGGTATTATGTGATTACAAAAGGCGATCAGAGAGTCAAGCCACCAGTCCAATTGATTATGTGATAAAACACCTTGAGCATTTCCAGCCCAGGCAAAACATCTTATGACTACCAGGAAAGGAAACCTTGGTAATCAGCATCTCAGCTTCAGCCTTGTGCCTCTTCTAACAGGCCTAACTGCCTTACAAGAACAGAATGTGTCTGCAGGACTTTAATAATAATCCACTTAATATCCTGAATCTGTAACAGATTTCTTCTGAGGATTGTAGATCGTTCTCACAGATGTGAGTCAGCTGACTTCTCGGCTCACTTTATCAGTACGGCTGAAAAGACTTTGCCTCAGGATGCTGAGTGTCGAGATCGCTTTTAGACACAATCAAGAGGGCTGCTGATCAAGAGGGCACTTCACTGCGAGTCGCTGTCGCACACAAACACACAAACGACATGCTTCTCCTCTGGCTTTCTCAAGTTATGTTTCTCCAGGTGTGTGTGTTGTCACACGGGGGTCACACATTGGTGATACAGTTTGTTATGGTGTCTGTGAAATATGTACTCATGGGACTTAAATGCAGGGTCAAAGGTCATTTGTGCCTTTTATTGCACAGACTACTCCCTCTTATGAGTGTAAATGTGTGTACAGTTTTTTTTATATGACTATGTGCATGTGAACAAGCCATGTAAAATATATGACTGTAAATAATGTAAGTAAGTATTTAATGAAGGACCCAACGTTCCCTCAAGACAATAAATGAGTTAAAAACATCTGTGCTTTGTGTATCATGGTGTGTCAAAGATGTGTCAAAGATGGTGTACATACATACATTTTACAGCAGTAAGTTCCTATCAAATATGGTCAAACACTTAATCATGTAAATACTGTATTATCATCCTCCTAATCTGATATCCATCTATGAACACTGCTTAATGTAAATTCTGCAAAACTTAGTACCTCATGTATATAAACCTAATGGATAATTTTTGCACTACTTACCACTGCACTATTTTCTCATTAGTCTTGTACGTATTAGTTTTTGTGAGCACACCTGGCCTATAAAGCTGATTTTGAAATACTGTGATAGGACAAGAGGCATTCCATGAGTGCTGATATACAGAACAAAAGCATGGGGACTTTTCACAAAACGTACTACTGCAAGGTTCAGCAAGGTATTCTAAATACAGTTCATTACTGTAGCTTAGAAGCTGAGGGTCTTTTTCTAGATTTTCTGTCAAGTTATGGAACTATTGTTCTGTTCACAGAAAACTCAAACTACCACAACTATAAACTCTTGCATATCACATTTGAGGAATTTCTGTTGTACTTATTAAACATCAGCAGGCTGTGAGGATTGCTTTTGCCTAGAAGCAGCCAAGCTTAGCAGTAACAGCCCTCCCTCTTATGCTTAATTGGTGTCTTCTGATTCTTGATCATCAAGAAAATAAAAATAAACACATTGTTTATCACAGGATCACACTCCTCTGATCACTCAAAGACAACAGTTCTGAACCAGAGTACTGGGATCTTAGCTGTTTAGCAGTCGATCTGCTTATTGCAACACTTAGCTCTTGATCTCCTCCTGTCTGCAATGAAATGATTGTTCACCTTGCAGATGGAGAAGGAGTTTATTGATCATTCAGGGTAAACACATAAACAGGTTGTAACAGATGAGACGTAGACATAGGCAGATGTTTTTCATCCAGATACATTTTCTTTTCACTTCAGGGCTGGAGATACAGACTCCAAACTCATACATCTTCATTTCCTTGGCAAACTCTGATCATTAACTTGAGTTGAGCTTCGCTTGTCTCAGCAGCGACGAGAGATGCGAGCGCTGTGATGTACGACGGCCATTACCGCCTCAGAGGAGGCAGCAGCCATTTGAAAATGCCAGTCACAAACAAATAAACATCCATACACAGGCCCTGTCACGTCCCAGCTGTGCGTGCTCCATCTGCTCTCTGCTATGATGAACTCCTGAAATTTCAATTTGTCTTTTTGAGTACACTTCAATGCTCCAGTAGGTCTGTTCTTACATGCTGATCCATCAATCTCAGTAATAAACTGATATCCATTATGCTTCCTGGTGATTATACTGAAACTAATTTAACTCCAAAAAAGTAAAAATTCTGGATCTTTCCAGGGATTACAGATGTTCATGGATCAAGGGGGTCATACAGAGGCATTCATGGTCCCCAGGGGATGATTTCTAATTTTGGTGCACCATTTAAAAAAGCACCAAAAATGTAATTTGTGACATTCATTTGTGACACTTACCGGCACACCTGTTTAACCTTTCAAATTTTTCATGGAGAGCACGTTGACATCTTGAGCTGGTGTTAGTAATTTACCTTAATCATCAGTAGTCTTTTTTGACTTCCTCAGCTCATCATTTGTTTTTTTAAAGAGCCCATATTCTGCCCTTTTTTGGGTTTGTATATTTAATCTATGTACCTACTTTTGTACTTTCACAATAGATAAAGTTCGAAAAAAGTGTCTGTTTTCATGAACTGCTCCTCCTTGCTCCCTCTCCGCTCTGAGTCCGTCCCACATGGGCCAAGTCTGCTCTAATTGGTCTGCCGATCCGCTCTGTCGTTATTGGTCAGTTGCTCAGCACGCTTCTCGGAAAATGAGCTGCAGGGCTTGCCACAACGAGCCAATGGGCTTAGATCAGTGATCTCACACTGACTAGACGTCACACTGACAAATTTATATCAAGGGGGGCTAGAACCGAGCGTTACATGCAGCTAATGCTACAGCTAACAGGAGGACGTAGGAGAAGCCGCGTTTCCGCAGACTTTGAATTTTTGCAAATCGATGTGCCTAAACATGCACAGGACACATGGAAAACACACTAAAGAGCATATAAAACCAGAAAAAGCATAATATGGGACCTTTAATTTTAGTGACACTAATGTGCAGGTAATAGACCAAAGCAGACTGAAAAGAAACTTTTATCATGACAACACATCTGCAATGTGCCTTGAACTCTTAAATAGTAGCAAGAACCATGACTGATTTTTTTTCATCTCAAGAAAGACTTCACAATTATTTTTACAGTCTTTTTAAAAAAAATTTAAAGATTTATTTTTTGGGCTTTTTCGTGCCTTTAATGCAGAGACAGGACAGTGGATAGAGTCGGAAACCAGGGAGAGAGAGTGGGGAATGATATGCGGAAAGGGGCCACGGGTGGAGGCGATCCCGGGCCTACCGCTCGAGACGAGAGCCTCAATACATGGGATGCGTGCCCTAACCATTGCGCCACCAGCGCGCCCCTTTACAGTCTTATCTATATATGACTTAGTGTTTTTGTGGCAATTGCTAATTATGCTGAGCTGACCAAATTTTCTTATCCAGTAAATTTGAATTTTACCAAAGTTATACCTGAAAAGACTCATAACAACAATCATCCTGGAGGAAAACATGGATGTAGAAGAGGACGGTAATGGGTGTAATACCAATACTGTAGGAAACATGAGCAGTGGAGGTTCTGGACAGACTCATAATGAAGGCAACACGTCACATATCAGTAATGGAAATACAAGGACATACTGAAAGACAATGTACAAGCTAATTACATTCAAAGTACAAACTTTATAGCAAATACGTCACTATTGGTGAATCACCTTATATCTGAAGTCTATAAGAAGAGGAACAAAGCGAACGTAACTGCCAGAGACAGAAACAGAGCCTGGGAAAAGGCTAAAAGAGGATTTTAATGCCAGAGGAAGTCATGAAAAATCATTAAAAAAAATAAAAAAATCCCTACTGTTTCTCAGATAAAAACAGCATGCATCTGCACGACCATAGAACAAAGCCTCAGACTATGAACTAAATAGGGTGGTCTAATCCAATTATACTCTCCCTCTTTGAGCCCAGTTTCACACACACACACACACACACACACACACACACACACACACACACACACACAGGCTACCACACTTTCACATTAGAGGGACACAGTCATTCATGAACATGGGTTGATAATTAAAAAAAACACAAAGCACGTTTGTAATGATTATGTTTTATTGTGAGGGAGAGAGACTGTGTCTGTCACACTCATGTTGTGTTTGTTGTCTGTTTAGTCATAATAGTTATTAGAAATGATTTTGCATTCATTACATCTTTTAAAAAAGTGATAAAGGTCAGCCTCTCTTTTCTGATGCTTAGGATGTTTTAGGAGTCAAGACCAATCCGTTTTTCTTATCAGGATTTACAAAAGTAATGATGATTCAGAAATTGAAAAGCCTTCCTGTCTGTGCGGGCCTTTGATCCACTGTTCAGTTAGCTATTTAAAAGAACAGTTTCACACATTAGGGAACATGTTTTTTCCCTGTCTGTCTCTTAATCACATTTTCCAGTGAATACATTGTTACCAATGAGCTTAGCAAAAAGGGAAAAACAAGTACCTGGACTCTTTAAATATATAAGATACATTACCTACATTTTTACAAAGGGTAAAAAACACTACTGTTAACACATATGTGTTGATTACTGTATGGCAATGCATTGTAGTAACACATTTATCTTTTCATATGGGAAAAATGGTTTCCCATTAAATCCTTTTTTTCTTTTGTAATACATGAATTTCCCCTCTAACTAATTTTTCTCTCACTTGACTGTCTCGTCATTTCCATGCAGTGTAAAGTCCTTGTTGTCACTTTGTCTTCTTCTTTGAGTCTTTTTCCTTCACAGCCTGTTTTGAACTCCTCCAAGGCAGGAAGTTGTAGGAGACCAGGGCAGTGAGGAAGTACGTAGCCATGCCGGTGTATTCTCCAATCACCAAACACAGAGGCTGTGCCAACACGAACAGGCAGAACACGTTCATGGACGCCCGGTCGTCCAGCTCCACCAGATCGTTCTGCGACGCTCTCATCACTCCGAAGAAATAAATCAGAGCCACCGCCGGGTAGAAAGCCAGCTCCACCATGACTCTGAAGACAAGGATGCTCTCACGCACAGGTCAGCCTTCAGATTAAAAATGAGCACGTGTTGGAAAGTAGTTTGTAAGATCCACTGAAGCAATGAAGCAGAGGATTTCAGACACACACTCACCCAGATCAGATTTACACACACACACTCGGACAGATATCCCTTCGAAGTGTGAAGGTAGATCCGACAGGGCAAACAAACATGGACCTTTGATCTGTCCCAACAACTCTGTCAAACATTAGCCACCTCCCATGCTCCTAATCAGGAAACATAACCATTACGGCAAGGCAAGTTTATTTATGTCGTACATTTCAACAACAAGGCAATTCAAAGTGCTTCACACAAGACATCAAACACATCATGACAGAGGAAAGAAAAGAAACATTAAAATACAACATAAAAAAAAAAAATCACTGGAATTATTAAATCTGAAAATATGTTCAAATAAAATAATTCAAATGAAATTAATTGAAATAAATAAAGTAAAAATATAAAAAGAGTTAAAAGTTACAGCGCAGAGTTAAAATTTAAAATCTTATTAAAGTTGTTTAATGAAAGGCAGCTGTAAACAGGTGTGTCTTCAACCTGGATTTAAAAGAGCTGAGAGTTTCAGCAGACCTGCAGTTTTCTGGGAGTTTGTTCCAGATATAAGAAGCATAGAAACTGAACGCTGCTTCTCCGTGTTTGGTTCTGACTCTGGGGACAGAGAGCAGACCTGTCCCAGACAACCTGAGCGGTCTGGATGGTTCGTAATTAATCAGGAAGTCACTCATGTATTTTGGCCCTAAACCTTTAAGCGCTTTATAAACCAGTAGCAGGATTTTAAAGTCTA